GTGTCTTTTTATTTATTAATTGTATTTTAAAGTTATTATTAATTAATTATTAATTACTTATTATCTATTGCTTTATCTAGTTTACTCGAAAAAATCAGGTATCTTGATAATGAGCTTAAAGATGTTAAAAATAAACTTGAGCTGCTTAAATAAAAAAATGATACAGATTTAAATGACGAAGATTTATATTTGAATTCCCAAAACTTACAGATGAAAACTGAAATTATCCAAAAGGATGCAGATATCGATAACTTGACAAGAAAAGTTGCGAAACTAAACTTGGCCAATGAAAAAAGGATTAAATTGATAAATGACCTAGAAGCTCAAGTAAATTTTTTTTTATTCAATAAGAAGCACAAGAAGTAAAGATCATTGTTAATAGATTTTCATATTTTTATAAAAAAAATTGTAGAATTAACTTGTAAAATTGGAACATTAAGAGATAATTTTAAAATGGCAGAAGCTGAAAGTAGTCGAAATGCAATAAAAGTAAATTTTAATAGTTTTAAAACTTTGAATAACCTTTTTTAAAAAATTCTAATATATTTTTATTCACATTTTTGTAGATGAATGATGCAATAGATAAAAGAAATCATACAGAAAGAAAATATAATTTTGCCATAGCACAGCACAAACGTGAACTAAGAAGAAGAGACGAAAGAGAAAACGACCTTCATTCACAAATTACCCTTTTAAGAAATAGAATTCAGGAATTAGAATCATTGTTAGACGAAAGAGAGATCGACCTTAGCCTTTTAAGAAATAGGATTCAGGAATTAGAATCATTGTTAAATATCAGTACCAGAAATTACTAATGAGAGACAGAAGAATACGATTGTTTTAAATGTTGGCGATAATGTCAAATTAGCAGTATTAGTCGTTCTCATACTGTTACAATTTTACGATTTTTCTTTGATTTTTGTTGTATGAGAAAATTTATTTTGTTAGTTAGTGAATAAAAATTAAATAAATATAAGATTTTGAAAAAATTGATTGCATTCTCAAAAATTTTTATTAGTGGCATGTTTTTATTCTCTATATAAGATCTTGATTTGCTATGCATATTATATGAAAATTGATCAACGTATACTCTACCCTTAAAATAAAGTAAACGGAGTGCTCTATTAACAACCCTATCTACCATATAGAAATCAAATTCTTTAATATATTTTGCATAATTATAATTAAATGAAGAATAAAGATTTTTTTCTTAAACCTTAAAAATTGTATAATGATAATGCCTTATATATTACCCTGGTTTGAAATTGTTGGTATGTGAGAATTTTCTTGTAGTATCTATTGTGTATTGAAATCAGAAAAATTTTTGCATCTAAATAGTATAATTTATACTTTTTACCAATTAGTTATATTATTTTTGGTGTGCAGGTAAGAACACCAAAAACACTAACTAAAAATAAAATGTTTTTGGTCGATTTAAAATATAAGGACAAAAATAATAAATAAATTCCATCCCACTTCTCTGGTAAATGAGACTCATATTCCATGCTCAGATATTATGTTATTTGTTAATTGAAATGTATGTGTATGTACATAAATTTTGATTTTTTTTCTTTTAAATGTTATGCCTGATCTAACTGCATCTTTTTTACGTAAATATAAATTAAATAAAAAATTGCTATATAATTTTTTTAATAATTTGATACCTGATCAAGATTTTTTTTAATGATCAAGATCATCAATTTTTTATATTACGCCTGATCTAGCCAATAAACATTAGTCATAAAAAATTCGATTGTTTTTTGTTTTTATCTTTATGTTACACCTGATTTAGCCAATCAGGATTCAGAATTTGCTGACACACAGATATCAGGTGTACTATTGCTCTACCTGTGAGTGTCCTTCGGACAATTACAGCGGGCATTTAATAGTAAATTTCTATAGTATGCGAATGGGTCTTTTCTATATATAAAAGTATTTTTTTACTAAGCAAACCTTTTATAATTTCTAATTCTAATGATAGTTAAATCATTCAAACCACATTAGTATATGACATGATATGAGTATTTATTAATTGTTTACTATAGGGTTTTTTATTATGATCAGAAATATACGGTATTTCACTTCTATATAAGGCAATTAGTAAAACTCTGCCGATTTTTACTATAAATTTTTGACCCTTTAACTGTGGATTACCACTTAATCTTTTAAAAAAAAAATTAATTGTTTTTTAAAAAAAAATAGATTTTAAGTATTTTTACAAGCTATATACAGTATAACAAATTTGTACTATGCAGATGCATAACTATGCATATCCTGAATATATAGTTAAAATTTTAGCTTAATTGGATCACTAATTGTTAAAATATAAATTTTAAGTTTTTTAAAATTTTATAACCAAATGACTATGTTGTACAAAAGTTGTGCAAAAATTACTATAGTAATTTTTGTGCAATTTTTGTACAACATAGTTATTTGATTATAAAATTTTAAAAAACTTAAAAATTTATATTTTAACAACTACTAATCAAATTAACTAAAATTTTAACTGTATATTCAGGATATGCATAGCTATGCACCTGCGTAGTACAAACTTGTTACACTACATATAGCTTGTGAAAATGCTGAATCTATTTTTTTAAAAAAATAATTGATTTTTTTTTAAAAGATTAAAATTTTTAAAAAATTTATTACTTAACAAATTGTTTATAAAAGAATAATAAAAAATATATCAAAAAATAGCCCAAGACCTATATTATTTACATAAAAAAATTATAAATGAATTATTAAAATTTAGAAATTTTTATATATAGACAATATTAACTTTTAGTTTTTTTTGCAAAAATAAATGAGATAACCAATACTTTATTATATGAGTAATATATATATATTTTTTTTTTGGTTTTAAGGTGAGGCCTTGCTCATATCTTTATTAGTAATTTTTGATATAGTTACATTATAGATTAC